AAAAGGAAATTTCTTGGGAAATTATTAAGATGACGAGAAAGAAAAAAGCACATGCGATTCTTGAACTTTCGGCTGATCTATACTGTGAAAGGCTCCGTTGCGAGACGAATGTGGTGTAATATTATTTCAATTTTTGGCCTTTTTTTTTTTTCTTCAGGAATTATTCAGAGAACTGAATCGTATATTCGGTTGATTATAGGAAGGGAATAAAGTGAAATCTCTAGGACGAAATTTTCTCTATAAACACGTGGCGGGTTTTCGGTGAGTGCAATTATTGTCAACATCAACAAAAGCGACACCATGTTTGAAGGACAATGACTAGGGCTGGAAACGAGTCGAGCCGCTCGTGAACGCTCGAGTCAAAACTCGGCTCGAGCTTGAGTTTGACTGAACTCGAGTCGAGCTCGAGCGGCTCGAACACGAACTCGAGCTCGAGCCTATATTTTACATTGTCGAGCGGCTCGCGAGCGGCTCGAGATATATGACATTATAAAAATACCATTATATACATATGTATTTAATGGTTATTTTACAAAATTGCTTGAAAAACTTCGAACCGAACTCGAGCCGAGCTCGAACATTTTGAATTCGAGTCGAGCTCTAGTCGAGCTCGAGCTCTTGTATTTTTTTATCGAGTCGAGCTCGAGCCTCATAAATCGAGTTCGACGAGCTCGAGCTCGAGCTCGAGCTCGAGCAGGTGGAAAAAAAATTCAATCATGCTCAATAAGGCCAATGCTCGACTCAGCTCAGCTCGTTTGCAACCCTAACAATGACACGCATCTACTCGATGAAATTGTGTTTCATTTTTATTTATTTTTTTAATGTATTAGCTTGAATTTTCAACTTTCTGGATAATTTTTATTTTATTTTAGTTATTTTAAGGGTTAATTAGACTGAAAATCCTCAATCCTTATTTCAAATTTCTTGTCCGTCTTTAATTTTTATTTTTTCTATTGCCTACCAACATCATCTCTTTCTTCAAAACTACTTCTGTAATAATTTTATTTCTTAATTTCATTCATAGACAATAAAAACTCATAACAAAAGAAGAAAAAAAAAAAAAAAAGACAAGCTAGACAACAATATCAAATTGATCTAAGTATGGCGGAATCAAGTTCTTCCAAGAATGCCATAATTCAAACCAGTTTGAAGATGATAGAAGTAAAAGCCAGTGATGAAAAGCCTGAAAAGGAAATAAACTTTCCTCAGGGTATTAACCAAGCTAAAGTTGCCATATTGGAATCAGAAGCAGAAGGTGCTCAAGGAGAATTATCAGTAAGTGGCCACTTTCCACAAACTCAATGTGGTATTAATCCGAATATAAGCCAAAAGACATTGAAATGGAAGAGAGTACAAGTCTCAAGTGAAGGAGGAATATTGAAGAGGAGGTGGAGAAGGTTTTAAGGCTGCAGGGGTGAACCATGAGAGCCGTGGTGTGAAACTGTAGATGTCTGGATGGACCCTGATATAGCCATACTGCTGCATAACGGTTAAATAACCATAGCGGTTCGAAAACTATCAAGTCGACTTCAACACAGTCGGCTCCGCCAGTAAGGTTCCACGACATTCAGTCAGGAATCTCGGCTCTCGACCGAGTCGACGTACACCCGTCGACTAGAATAAGTCGACCCCTGGCAAGACAACGATCAGACGTATCAGGGTCCAGTAATTGTCGAATACGATCCAGTCGACTCGACTCAATATCTCGGGTCGACTGAAGGAGTCTTGCGGTTCATGGTTCTTGATAGCTTTGACACACTTCAACGCATTGAGGAAGAGTTAAGGATAAGAAGGAAGCTAAGGAAGGATCTAGATGCTGACTAGGAAGTAGGCGGAATATGAACCGACCGGGGTATTCTGGACATTTCCCTTAAGTCGGCCAGGGCATTTTGGGGACTTCAGGTATATATTGTACTCCTATATAAAGGACTGAGGTAATCCCAAAACCCTAACTCCCATTCATTCCATACATTTCTATTACTGCTGCTGCTCTGAGAGCAGCTCCCATCATCTCTCTTACATACTGACTTGAGCGTCGGAGGCTCTACGCCGGAAAAACCCTCCGGCGTTGAGTTCTTGCAGGTGTTCGTACGATTCAGCAACGGCTCGAAGGTCATCAGGCCAGATCTAAGCTCGTTCATACCGGTTCATCCCAGATCCGGACGTTTTCTCACCAAACCGTTCCAGATCTGAGAGCAGACCCATCAGACCCTCTACAATTCCCCCAAATGAAGGAGTCCCTAAGAATCCACCATCCACATTTTGTGTTTATATCAGAAACAAAAAATACAAATGGGTTTGTCTTTTCAGTTTGTAAAAAGCTCGTTTTTGCAAAGAGGTGTAAGATAGTTGATCCCGTTGTAAAAAGCTCGTTTTTCAGTCACCACATTTTGTGTGAAAATTGGGTTCCAAGATCAATGCAGGCTGCATCTGATCCACCAAGATGGGTTGCTTTTGTTTACTTAAGCAATGACAAAAGGATACGAACAGAGCAATGGAGGGAAGTGAGTGGTGCATTGCCGGTGACTGGAATGATCTGGGTAGTGTAGAAGATAAAAAGGGGGAGGGTAAGATCACCCGCTAGTCTCCAAAGTTTTCAGGATTTTGTGGCAAACATGCAGATGGAGGAGATGGAAAAGAAAGGGATACTCTTTTACATGGGGAACAACAGGGATAGAGAAGGTTTTGTGGAGGAGGTGTTGGACAAAGCTTTTGCATCATGGGGGTGGTTACACACTTTTCCCCACACTTAAGCAACGCACAGAAAAGAACTAACGCAGATACGAGCAATGGCATGGGCACACGCGGATGAGACACTGCATACGATAAGAGTGCGAGAGGCGTGCACAACGACAGAGGTGTGGGACAACGCGCTGTCGACGAGTGTGCATGACAGCACGAGATAGCACGATGCGGTCGCGTACAACGAAGGCAAGGTTGCGCGCAAGGGAGCAAGCTTGAGGATCATGTGTGAAGGTACGGGAACGCGCGAGGGGAGCTCGCGCGAGCGCAAGGGGACACGTGCGGGAATGTCGTGCGAGGCAAGGGCGCGCAATGCTCGCGGGCGTGGTGCAGGGCCGTGGTTCTCGCGCAAGGGCGCGGCGTGGGCACACCTCAAATCAGCCGAAGATTCTAATGACATGTCTATTTGGTGGTACTTGTATTCTTCAGAAAGTATTCACTATTATATAATGTGTAGTATTTTTTTTATTTTTTTTATTTTTTTGTTTTAAAAGCGTCTTTAATTGCATCACATACTTGGCATAACTACAAACTTACAAAAATTATTGTATTAGGCTGCCCAACTCTTAGGCGAATCAGCATGTCATACTCAATTAACAAAAGTACTATTATACTATGACATATCATACTTTTGTTTGTTGTTGTATTTTAGAAATCCCTCGAGAAGTGACATTTCGGTTTGAAAATATTTATGTGATGAAAAAGTATGATCACTTAGTGGTAGGCCTTCATAAAAAGTAGCCTAAGTAAAATTTCCAGGCAATGGTACACATCACAAGCGAAGCTCGTAGAAATTGATGTATGAACAGAGGCATCTCAAGAACAAACTGAAACCAACAATCCTAAACAGTGCAACATTCTTCATGCCAGACTGTCCGAAAAAGAAGGCAAGGAGGAGGCCATTGCACGATATCACCCTCCCATCCAAGACCAAGAAACGCACAATATAGAACAAAAGGAGAAAAAAAAAAAAAAAA